CCCAAAATACAGCTATAATGACTGCGCGTTCTATTCGGCGGAAGATGGTAGTAAATGTAGTATGCTACTATGCTATGCACAATACTTCAGCCCACCAAAGAGCAGGGCTGTACTGGCAACCGCCCGGTTGGACCACCGGGGGGGGAGGGGGAGGGGGAGGGGGGTTATGGCGGGGGTGTTAGTGGCAGGGTTTCAGCAAACACAGGCTTCAGCAGACATTGACAACAACGTACCTGGCTTTCTGCAAACGTTGACCTTCCGCCCAAGACTTTGAAAAGGAAGGGGGGGGGTTAGTGGTAGGGTAGGGACCCTACTTCCCACCCAAAAACTTTGAAAAGGGCGGCCTATCTGGGCTGCCTATCTCTCGAGATCAGCGGTCCAGATAGGTTGCCCTTTTCAAGCCTTTTTCACAGGCCTACCGGACCCGGTCTGATTTATTTTTTGGGCTAGGAGACCTCCACAGCCTGCGGGAAGGCCTCCTGGCCCAAAAGAAAACCAGTAAGACCCCCCCAGATTGGATGCGCTATGGCCCCTTGGTAAGAAGACCACCTCAAAGATCGAAGAATATGTTCTCCGTACCGACTGATTCACAATTTCTTTTCAACTTTGGTGCTTGTCACCCTCGATACTGGTAGGGTGACGGTCGTGAGTGCTGGTCACACTGAGGTAGGATAGTAGGGATACAGGGTGCGCTGGGAGTATTAACATGGGGAAGGGTAGGGAAGGTGGCCTATCCTGTCAGGACCCAGCTGCCGCTGCCCACGATCACCGTGGGTCTAGTCCTCGGCCTCTACAACACCCTGGGCTTAAAATAATAATAATAATAAAAAAAAATGATGCGCTACGGCCAACGGGGGGGGAACCGGCCCGGTCGACCGACCGGTAGGACCGGTCCAGTTCCGGTTGGGGGAGCGGCCCCCGGTCCTACCGGGTTTACAGCACTGCCAAAGGATCACTTTCTTTTTTTTTTGAACATGAGATTATGGCTGACCATAACACAATTCTAAACTGCAAAACGCAATATATGTACTAGTCCTAGGATGAGTACACTATGGACCACTAGAATTGAGTATGTACTATGTAGTATGTACTATGTACTGGTCCATAGAATTGAGTATGTACTATGTACTCTGTACTTGTAGCACACCGAACATGTTCGGAGCTTTTCCGAACGTCCGAACATGTTCGGGTGTTCGGCCGAGCACCTCCTGAACGTGTTCGGCCGAACACATTAAAAAAAATAATAATAATAAAAAAATCATTTAAAAATGTTTTTTTTTTTTTTTAAGTTTTAACTTTTAACTCGATTTTGCCATTTTGGTTATGAATTTGAGCATACCTCCCAGGCAAAAGTTGGCGAACTGATATGTTGGAGCACATCTGCTTCCCCTCGTTCGTTGGGTCTGGAGATGCAGTTGCCGGAGATTCCTGTGCCTCCACCGCAACACATGGAGATGCAACCGGTGTGTGTCTTGGAGACTCCTACGGGATATTGCCCTTTTTGTTTAGCACAGCCATCATACGCCCTGCCTGTGGACCCCAGGGATTGGGTTGGATGATAGATCCCAGAGAGCAGCAACCGGTTTTTCTCTATCAAGACACCACAAAGCTGGGATACAAGCTGATGAGACCGCAGATTGATGTTAACTGGACTGTGGCCAAAAGATGGATGTCTACAGGATGGATACAAGACATGCTCCCAAGGCTTGCCCAGGGCTTCTCAAGGTATTGGAAACTGCTGCTTGATCTTCCAGTGGTCAAACACGCGAGTCAACTGTGGCTAGTGGCTCACCTCGCTGTACCTACAGCTATGTGGTGCGCTCGGCGTACAGCAAAAGCTACACCTCTTTGTAGTCTGTGCCCCGGGACAAGGATTGAGGACCTCCAGCATATGCTATTACACTGCGACCTCTCAAGGCCCTGCTGGGAATGGTGGAGATCAGGAACAGTCCCGATACCGGACCCGGCGGAAAGATGGACCGACGACTTTATCCTTCTGGGGGCAGCCACACGGCGTCAGCAGGTTAAAGGACCGTTGGTCTTCCCCGAAGAGACTCTTCGGGGATCTGTGCTATGGACACTCTGGACACTCAGGAACTCTGCGATCTACAGGGGCGAAAGATTGACTCCGGCAATGGTTCGAGCTGAGGTCAAATTTGGCATAAAACAGACCATCTCAACTGAGTGGTCTTTCAAAGTCCAAAAAAAAGGATACTCATCGAAGGCATTGAGAACCTTCCTTCAACACTGGGATAGATTCCCTGACCTGCTTAAAGTGCGGTCATCTCAGGGCGCCCAGCCACAGATTCAATTTTCTTCCTTCTTTGTTGCCTGACAAAAGTACAGTGTTTACTGCACTTGGCCCTTTTGTCTCTTCGTTGCTTTGCTTTTTGGCAAATCTAGTAACAAACAGTGCCACCCATAGTGGTCTTACTTTTGCTCTTCCAAACTTTTGGTAGCCAGCTAGAGTAGGTTGGGCCTTTTTTTGTAGAATAGTCCAGTTTGCTATAAGATTTTGAATTTCAGATGCTTGGTGTCTCCTCAGTGTAAATAGAATTGCCTGTGGCCTGTGTGGCTCCGGACTTTTGATCTTAGGTTTGATCCTAGGTTAGTCTTTGGCTTAGTAAGGAATAGACAAGGAATAGATAGTTGTCCTCTTTCTCTCTTCTCCTTTTTTGGAACTCTGCGACTCCTGATATGGGCTGGGCCGGTGATGCCTTGCTCATAATCGGGAGTTGCCTGCATATATGTGAGGGACGCCGGGCCCGTTTCCCGGTTTGTATAATAAAGAAACATTTTAAAAGGGCCTTTACCCGATATAGGCCTCAGGCCTTGTAAAAATAGAACAGCACGGGCCTTGTAAAAGTAAAGCATTGTGAAAAGGTATCTTGCCAGGGCTCAGAAACGTGAAAACAGGTCAAAGGTCAAGTTCTCTATCAACAGGCACATCTAAATCTAAGGCAAAGGGCATTGTCAAAAGACTTACCTGTTCACCAGGAGATGTGTATGTCATGTCTGTTCGGGTAAGGGTGTGTCTGTACGTGCAGGCAGTGTACCTGTTCGTGCAATG